TTTACATGTGGGTTTAATTGGTGACAGACTCTTCGCCTACAGTTTTATTTGCTGATGAACATTACTCTTTTTTATTCTGTTAAAAACGAGTGGCCTAACCTGTTTATTTGATTTAAACGCATACATTTTATTGCTGGCTTGTAATTTTTTTAAATAAAGATACTGTTGTCATTAGGAAAATAAATCTGTTCTTATTATTTAAAAATGACGTAAGCACTGATACCTGCAAAACGAGCAATAAGTAAACTTCCCATGAGGCATTGGAGCAATGAGGAGAATTCAACTGGGGGACATCCTGAATGATGCTTGCGTTCAATAAAGTCATTCAGGATGCCATCAGCATTCGTTCTGTGTGGCTTGAGACAGTTGACAGAGCTCATTGCTTTTTTGTTTCTGTCAGATAAGAAGAAAAGCCCATAGTTAGCTTCTTTCCTTTGAGTGAGAACATCTTTGTAGGTCAGAGGTAGTGAGTAATGGGCAGGCCAGGTCATGGCTCCTGATGGCTCCCCCCTTGTTACCATGGTCTGTCTTGTAGGACATGGGGTGCTGTCACATGTTTTCTGCAGAGGAAGGCATGTATTTCAGATAAAACAAGAAAAGTCTTCTGACGGAACACTCCTGAGTCTGGGCATCCTCTGAATGTGACATGAATGCATGGCTCCTTTCACATATGAACAAGATCTAGATTGCTCTGTTAAGCCCATGTACAGCCTGAATCTAGAATAGATATTTTTGAAGCCTCCTTAAGATAAATGAAGGCCCCTTGTCTGCTGTAGTATCCTAAAATGGATGTTTCTTCCAGTGGCCATTTGTTATATTTGCTACTAGTAAGTATTACTGAGTGACTGGCTAATCTGAAGAACATTCTGGTGCGTTATTGCGTCTGTGACTTCCTGGCAGGCTGTCTCTTCCCTTAGCCCGGTAATTGCTATAGAAGCAGAGAAAAGCATCTGGTGAGCAGCATTTCCTTCAGACATACAGGGAGCCAATGTACAAACCAGCTAGGAAGGAGTATCGTTTTTCTCCCAGTCATTTTTTACAGATTACTTTTATTAAGGATGGCTAGGAAGTGGGCCATGCCCCAAGTGTTGGAAGGGAAGTCTCCTGTCCACATACTGCAGCCTACATAATTAGTATGTAAAGTGTTATCTGCCACAGCTATGCCCTGATATTAAATGGTTCATTATGGTCAGTGAACCACAAAATTGTCTGGGTAAAGGGGCAGAATTGAGAATCAGGGGCCAGAAGCATTGGCCATATGACTGACTGCTTCTAGAAGGACAAAATCCAGCTCTTTGTAGTCATTGGATTTGTTGGAAGGTTGCTCTGTTTATCTGCTGAGTTTCTCAACCTTGTGGGGGAAAGGACTAGGCAGTGTGACAGGCATTTCTACAAGACTAAGTCTGAACAGGTTCTCGGGTCCTGAGAACTTCATTCTCAAATTGAAGTGGGATGTCAAGATGCCTTCTCCTTGTGTACTTTCTTTACCATACCACCATTGCACATGGATAGTTGGCTATGATAGTTACCTATTTTATTTGAGTATTTTCAAATATTTGGGTATTTTCTCTGTAAGCTGGTCTATGTCTCGTCGCTCTTTTGTGTGTGTGTGTGTGAGTGTGTGCGCATATGAGTGTGTTCTTTCATTTTTCAGGATAAAACAGATAAGGAAACTGATTTTTGTGAAACAGTTCAGTACCTCTTACTTAATAGGTTCCTGAGCTAGATGGTGATGATGATGATGGTGATGATGGTGATGATGATATGTGTATGTGTGTTGTTATGGGGAGACACCCTGTGGCGCTCAGGTAGAGGGCAATGTATACGAATTTCTCTTCTCATATCATATGGATTCAGGGGACTGAGCTCAGATCAGGCTTGGTGGCAAGTGCCCTTACCCACTGAGCCATCTCATGTCCCTTTTTGTAAAAGTTTGGACACATTATCTCTTCTGTTACCATCCGTGCTCCAAGTCCTGGCTTGTGTATTCCTTCTGACTCTTTCTTTCTGGCTTCCTGCAGCTCTCATTCCTCTGTCCATCTTTAAATATTATCATTCCTAAGTCCTTAGCCTTGAATTCCTTCTTCTATTCTTTCTCAGGAGTCAAATTCCACCCTCCTCACATGTACATACTCTCTTTTAACTTCCTCTTTCCAACATTTTTCTGTCTAATTCTTACTTCTTTTTCTTCCCTTACTCTTGTATAGTCATTCTGGCCACTTTCCCACCTCTGTTCTTTCTCACTCTGTGAGTGTGTGTGTGTGTGTGTGTGTGTGTAGGCCAAAGGTCAACTTTGGGTGCCTTCCTCTATCACTCTTCACCTTATTTTTTTGAGACTGTCTCTTACTGAGCCTGAAAGCTACCAGTTTAACTGTGTTAGACTAGCTAACCAGGATGCCCTGGAGATCCTCTTTTAGCAGGGGTGCAGGTGAGCTAAACTCATGTCGTGCTTATGTGGTAAACACTCTATATACTAAGCCATCTCCCTGGGCTCTTGTTGGAAGAAAGCCAACTTCTACTTTTCATTACTCAGTTAAGAGCCATGTTCATCGATAATGCATTCTATAATCCACCCCCCCAAAAAAAAAATTGAAAAAATTCAGCTCCATGAACTTTTTTTTTTCAGGTAAGTTAATATGGTTTCATAACAGTCATAGCCTCTGCATATTTATTATTATTTTTAAATTATTATTGTTTTAGTGTGTGTTTGATTACATTCCCCAGTAGACTATGCAGTCCTTAAAGGGAAGGGGCTTACCTTCAGCTTAATTGTCTTGTACACAGTAGTTACACAATAACTAGGTAATGAATTACTTGCTAAACGACAACACACAGAGGAACAGTTATGTTATAGCTTCCTAAGATTCTTCATTCTCATTTCAGAAGAAATGGAGGACTTGGAGTATTGGGGATTAGTGTCTTTGACCTCCAGATATATATAATGCTAAATATATATAATGCTAAGTGAGCTTCCTATCAAACTGTTTGCAACAGGATGCATTTATGAGCTGTATTAGAAATACCAGACCTTTGGTTACTTTGCCTTTGCAAGCTGGAAAGAGAAAATGCCTTTGTTTGCTTTGAGCTTCCTGTTGATGGTTTTCTCCTGCCTGATAATCAGGGTTGTATTATTTACCTTCTTAAAAAGACCATCGGAACATGCTGTCTCTCCTTTGAATTGTACTTTGGATATTAATTTACTGCTGGAGGACGCATTGGGGGAGATTTCTAAAATTGCACAGGGAAGTGTTTCTTTAATCCTCAAATTTGTCAAATGCTTTATAATAATGGAGATCATAATCTCCGGGTTGGTAGGAGAAATGGAATGGTTCTTGAGGATATTTTTTCCTTCCTGAGAAATTGCTATATGAGAAAATGCTTCATTCAGTTGTTTTTTTTTTTTTTTTTTTTTTTTTTTTAAATCCTTTCGACATGCTTTAAGGTCCTCAGGAAATGAGTAGATGGCACTGATTCAGGTCTTTTGTAAGACGCTGAACAATGTTCAGGTCTCTGCTTCACAGAGTTAGTGGCCCTGAGCCCTCACAGGTGACTCTGAAAAGCAGTTTGCTTTTTTAATATTGCACTCACACAGACATTTTAAATATAGTGTTCAAATGAGGCCATGATTTTGGAAATAGCAGTCTTAGAGAATCTTGGCCGTGCCACATAAACTGTCAGGCAGCAAGGCAGTACATCATTTTAGGATGAAGGAGAGTGTGCCTTAAGGCCGTGATATTCATGTTTCATTGGTTTCTTCTTCAGCTTAGGTCAGGGCATGTTTCTGTTTTCCTCTGCTTTCATACTGAAGAATTCCTTTTTTCTTTGTTTGTGAGGCAGCCACAAGTCTCAACCTGCCTTGCAGATGATAACATTATTAATGCCCTTCCGCTTTCCAAGTCATTTATACATTGCCTGCTAACAGCTATTGCTTGTTAAATATCCAGAGCTAGTGCAGTGCTGAGAAGCATGGGAAATATTCAGGTCCAGGAAGGGCATAGATACAGTAATGATTGCTCGTTCTAGTGATGAATGTGGACTGTACTTTCCTAATGTGATATGGGATTGGCAAAAGGTAGGTTGTCCCTAGCTCATTACTTTTCATTGCCTGGTATCGTTTGACAGTTACCCTAAGTCTCAGAGTTAGAGGAGGAACTGCAGGATTAATTTCCTGTGAATACATTAAGGAAGGTAGTTTTGAGTTGTTCAAACTGAAAGACAAAAACAAGAACAAGATTTAAAATGAAACAAACAAACAAAACATAAAACAAAACATCCTACTGCAACCTACAGAAAGAATACTTAGCTATAATTCTAAGCACTTTTGGAAATTAATTTTCTTTCTTGATAAATCCGGTAAGTAGAAGTATCACCAATTTCTTTTTTCAAAAGATTTATTGTTTTTAATTATGTGTAGGTATGTGTCTGTGTGGGAGTATGTGCGTGTGAGTGTGGCGTCCACAGCAGCCAGAAGAGGGCATCTGCCTCCTTGGATCTAGAGTTACAGACTGTTGTGAGGTGCCTTACTGTGGGTGCTGGAAACAGAACTCCTGGTTCTGGAAGAGCAGTGAGTGTGCTCTTAACTCTGAGCCACTCCTTTAGCCCCTTACCAAATTTCTTTCTCTCTTTCTTTTTCTGTTTTGGTTTTTGTTGTTGTCATTGTTTGTTTTTGAGACAGGGTTCCTTTGTGTAGCTCTGATTGTCCTGGAACTGTTTGTAGATAAGGCTGGCCTCAAACTCACAGAGATCTGCCTGCCTCTGCCTTCAGAGTTCTGGGATTAAAGGCGTGGATCATAATGCCTGGCACCAAAGTTTAACAGACTTTTGAGGTAGAATTTTTGCATCTTATTCTTCCCCAAAGAAACTTGGCTAGTATGCATCCGGATTCCCAAACTCTTGAACAAGAGTTTATTCATCCTTACAGTTATGCACAAAGAATTGTACTATGTTCTCACAAATGTTCCTCACACTTAAGAGAATAAATTTATTATCCTGTATTCTAGCAAGTCGCCAGTTAATAAGTCACATTGAACAGTTTTTGGATACCAATGAAACACTGTATTTCATGAAGAGTATGGACTGCATCAAAGCTTTCCGGGAAGAAGCCATTCAGGTAATTATGCTCACCCATCCTCTGCTCCAACAGCTGCCATAGGGCAGAGTCAAGCAGCACCCCACAAACAAGCCTAGGTTTTGGAAAGCATCATTCTCACTGAGAATAGTATAGTACATCCAGGAAAGTGGAAATGTCTACACTCATGGCAACTGTAATTATCATCTCTCAGGAAGAACAAAGGTAGTTGTGGCTGGGGGAAGGGGTTCCTCCCTCAGAGTCAGCTTTTTATAACAACAGTGTACAGGCTTCATGCTCCCACTTAGAGAATTGAGGAAAGTCCCATGGTAACCTCTGGTAGCCCTGTCATTATAGAAGATAAGCCAACTCTTTTAGGGAAATTGATGGGACATATATATTAGTGTGATTGTTGAGAAGGATTTTACAATGACAGCAGTAGGTATATGAATGCCAGAAGAAATAAAGAACCCTACAAACAACAAGAATTCTGCAATGTTCTAAGTGGCTTTTCTTTGTTTTGTTAGGAACTTTTAGAAAATGCTTATAAACTTCTTCTAGATTATTTACTGGCTTTATTTCTCTAAGCTAAAAGTGAGCCAGTTTGAAATGGAAGGTGTATTTTTAAAGTTGGCACAGTTGGAGAGTATGTTTTGTGTGGGTGCTGATTAAATATTTGCTGATGAACAAACTAATACTTGAATAATTTAGGTGCTTACAAAGAATGACAAGAAAATGAGAAAATGGTTAAAGTTAAAATAAAAGACTCAGAAGTAGATGATCCAAATACCCTACAGATTAAAAACAAAACAAAACCAAAAAAAAAAAAAAAACAAAAAACAAAAACCCAACATTCTGGAAAAGTAGAATTAAGAAAAGGCTAAGCGTGGCTCAGATGAGTACATGTTGGCACCACAGATCCAGCAAGGGCTTGGATGGGAAAACAGAAGGAAGGCTACGGCTGGCTGTCTCAGCAGCCTTGTGTGGACGAAGCCCCATGTTCCATCCGCCTCAGTACCACCAAGATGAAAGCAAGATGGAAGAGGAGCAAAAGGGTCTGGAGACAAATCGGTCCATTTTAATGTAGACCTGGTAAAAAGTGAAATTAGTTTTTTAAAAGAACATGAAATTCATCTAAAGATACAAAATACCAAGTGATTCTTTGCTCCTTAAAATCTTCTCAAATTTTCTGATGCATAATGACATTTCTTTTTCCTTTCCTTCCACTCTCACTAGTCTCCTGTCTGTTGACAGGTCTCAGTAATCCACACTCACAATACAGCTGAGGCCTGCCTTGAACTCCTTATTCCCTTGCCTCCAATTCCCCAGTGCTAGGATTATAGGCATGTGCCAAGGAGCCAAGATGAGTATGTTTATATATGTGTGCGTACATATATTTATATTAGATATAACATACTGAAATACTTATAATTGAAATAATGAGTGAATTTTACTTTAAAATTACTGCAGATACTGTGAGAAATAGGAGTGTAGACATAACAAGCCTGGCTGAGTTACTGCTGGGGTGACGTAGCTCAGCGGTAGAGCACTCAGCCGGCATGCATGAAAGCCTGTGGTCAGTCTCTGAGAATCACAAAAAGAAGCAAAGATTGTATATATTGGCAATTCCTGAAGTCAGGTGATCAGTTGGATTGCTGCGGGAACAATCAATCAGTGAACTATTGTCTTGTTTGAAATTGTCTGTGCTGAAAGTTAAAAATGAAGTTCGAAGCTGCCCAAATCTACGTGGCTCTGAGCAGCTCCGTGCCTTCTGTGGATAGACGGCTTTCTGGTTCACAAAGAGCAGAGCCGCCTGAGCTGCTGGTTCCCCGTTCCCAAAGCACCTCTTATTTCTGATGGACTCAGGTGCAGTGCATTGGGTGAAGGTGCGCTCAGCTCCGTGCTTGCTGACCTGCCTCTTGTGCTCTTGTCCACTCCAGTTCGCAGAAGAGCAGCGCTTCAACAGTTTCCTGGAAGCCCTTCGAGAGAAAGTGGAAATTAAACAATTAAATCATTTCTGGGAAATTGTTGTTCAGGGTAAGGTGATGCTGTTTTCTTCAAATATTTATGCTACTTAAAATGTATATGAAACTTTCCTTTTAAGAAATAGGTTTTTTTTTTTCATTTTCATGTGTGTGGTGTACATGTATGTACATCTGCGTGTTTGCATGTGTGAGGTATGTATGTGTGTATGCTAGCGTATGTGTGTGTACTTGTGTGTGTGTGTCCGCTTGCGTGTGTGTGCATGTACACGGGCGCACAGTTGATGTTGGGAAGCGTCTCCATTGTTCTTCACCTTACTTTTTAGATGGAGTTACTTTGATCAGCAAAGATGAAGGCCCTGGAAGCTCTGTCACCGCCGAGGAAGCCACAAAGGTACTGCAAGCTAATCCCCTCTGTCTCTCTAGAGGAGTTAGCCCACCAGGAAGCTGCCAGCACGGTGCACCCATTCCATACTGGTCATGTCAGCTGCAGCCTTCTCAGACGAGACACTCGGCCTGTTCTTGTTCCTCTGGTTATGTTTCCGGAGTCCACCTGCAGCCCCAGCTTCTGTAACTGCAGAGCTGTTGAACTCTGCAGTGTACTTCCTGCTTAGCCTAGATCCTAACAAAGACCGTGAAGTCCCCATCTCCCAACTCTCTCCCCACCTCAAGTTTTTAAAATGACATTTAAATTGTGTGTGTGTGTGTGTGTGTGTGTGTGTGTGTGTGTGTGTGTGTTGGGGTGGGCTGCATGCAGTGGTGCATGGCTGTACCTGTGTGGCTGTCTGATACAACTTCAGGAATTGCTTCTCTCCTACCAGCATGTGGGTTCCAGGGGCTGAACTCAGGTTGTCAGAGGTGGTGGCAAACACACTCACCCACAGAGCCATCCAACGCACCCCCTCCCCACCTCTTTTAAAGTACTGGTTAAACAGCCAGGGCTGGTGACTATGGCTCCACAGTGGAGTAGCTGGCTAGAAAGTATCTACAGGATACTGAGTTTCTTCCCCTGCACTAAAAAAAAAAAAAAAAAGAAGAAGAAGAAGAAGAAAAGATAGGGACTACTCCAAAGATTCTGCTGGTTTGAGACAGGTCTCGGGAATGGTTTGTTTGAGGTTTTACAGCTGTTCGTGTGAATACAGTGTGGAGCTGGCAGAGAAACCCTCCTAGTCCAACACCGGGAACAGCTGGGCGTTTTCAGCAGAAGACCCCATGTATACAGAACCATGAGCTTTTGATTGGCACATTGATGAGGCTGAGGCCTCCGTGTTTGATGTATTGAATATTAAATCTGACTCAGCTGTCAGTCAAATATATATAGCTATTTAGTTGGGTAATTCTTCTTTGTACCTCAAGGTTGTAATGAAATTTTTATGAAATTAAATTGAGTAACTCAGAGTACATAGTTTATATATTCTGCTCCAGCTGCAGACACTGGCTGACCCAGTCCCACTAGCACAGTACCTGGCAGCTGGCAGTGGGCTAAAGCTGCTGCCTGGTAGTCACTTGGCTTGGGTAATGACAGTAGTCTGACCTCTAGAAGCTCAAAGTTCTGGGAACATTAGGGCTGTGATGGAGACTCAGAAATAACCACAAGTGGAAAGGAGAGCCAGAACAGCTAGTAAGGAATGGCAGGGACAAGACTGGGAATGTTCATTACTCGTCCAACTTCAGGCCAAATGGAAAATGCCATGAATTTTCAACTCAGAAAAGGCATCATATAGGAACCAAAGTATTATTTGGGAGAGAAGATAGCCAGCAACAATCAAGAATTCTAACTAATTATTTTAATTTGCAAAGTTTTTTTTTTTTTTTTCTGAGTTGTTTTATTTGCCATGTTTGGTTTCTTTTTTTCTAGACAGGGTTTCTCTGTGTAGCCTTGGCTGTCCTGGACTAACTTTGTAGATCAGGCTGGCCTCAAACTCACAGCGATTCACCTGCCCCTGCCTCCCAGAGTGTTGTGATCACAGGTGTGCCCCACCATGCCTGGATTGATTTATTTACTTATTTATTTTTAGACAGGATCTATAGCCTAGGCTGGCCTTGATCTCCCTGTATGTAGTTGAGGAAGACCTTGAACCTGAAAACAAAATGTGTGTGTATGTGTGTGTATACCTGTTGAAGTGTGTGTTCATATCACTCACGCTATGACATGGCTATGGCGGTCAGAGGACAACCTTAGGTGTCTATCTTGTGTGGCCTCTGCTTTCTCCACTGAACCATTTCCTGAGTTTGGTTTTGATTTCTGATCTCGTTGCCCCCATCTCCCAACTGCTGAAATGATAGGTGTACCTCACCACACCGACACCTGCAGTGCTGGGAATTGAGCTCAGGGCCTCGAACTTGCTGAGAACGCACACCACCAGCTGAGCTGTGCCCCACCCACCCCACCCCCATTGCATAAGTTTTTGTTAAAGAACGGGTCTGGGCCTACCCTTGAGAATTAAGATCATAGCACTCCAAAGAGTGCTCCTTGGTGCTGATTATCGTCTCTGTGCTCCACAGTGCCTGGAGCTGCTTCTGCCACAGTCAGTACTGAGGGCCGTGGGCTTGAGAATGGCACTCAGATGTTTGGTTTTATTTCTATGCATCTTGGTGAGACTGACCACATATTCTAGTTCTTACAGGAAGTGGGGAATGCTGATGTTGAAAAGGTAGGCTTTCCTCCCAGCAGCACATCTTAGCCAAAAATGTCACATCTCAGTGAGTATCGAGTTAGTAAAGGAAGGAATCTAAAAAGAGATAACACTTTCAGATTGTCCGAGACTTGTTCTGTATTGCACATGTGATACCATCTTTCAAAGTTAAGAGCATAGAGCCTCTGCATCAACAGTCTTAATGGCTGATAATTAAGCTTTAGAGAAAGATTTCAGCTAATTGCTAGGAATAAGGTGAGTCGTTAGATGATTCTGATATTACCAGAACCGATTCGGTTGTAATTTAAAACAACTCTGGGGATGTCGCCATCTTTGAGTGGAGGTAGCATAGTGACTGACAGGTGGGAGACATGCTTCTCCTGTCACTGGCTGCCTGGTGCCTTCTTGCTTGTTGAACCACTGTCAGCAAAACTACTTTATGGCAGATGAGAAGCCAAAAATGCAGCTGAATTCATGGAGTACGAGCTCTGTAGCAGGCGCTTCGGTATATGTTATCTTACAGCCTCTGCAAAAGTATGTTTCATAACAGCCTTGCAGATTGCCTTTTGCATCTAGGAAGCACCCATTTTCTTTCTTTTTTTCACATTTTTGGTGCTTCTACCAATTTAATATTTTTATGCATGTGCGTATGCATATGTGTGAGTGTACTTTATGTATACGTGATGTGGGGGTGCATGGAGGCCCGAGGAAGATATCTTCTTTCAAATTTAAGAGCACAGAGCCTCAGGTATTCTGCTCTCTCGTGCTCCACCATATGTTGTTGAGACAGGGACTGTCATAGTTTTGCTATGATAAAACCCCTAGCAGAAAGTATCTTAGGGAAGAAAGCGTTTATTTGGTTTACAATTGCAGGTTACAGTCCCTCACTGTGGGAAGGCCAAGGCAGGTACCTGAAGCAGCTGGTCCTAGCCAGTGAAGAGCAGAGAATGGATGAGTACATGCTGAGTACTGAGCCAGCCTTCTCTGCTCTGACACAGTCCACGTTCCCCAAACAGGCTGGGTTTCCCACACTCTTTAAGGCGATCAGGACAGCTGGCCCACAGTCGGCCAACCTTATCGAGATATCTGTTACAGATACTCTTTTCCCAGGAGACTCTAGGCTGTATCAGGTTAAGAATAAAACCTAATCATTATGGGGTCTCTCACTGAACATGGAACCAGGCTGGCAGCTCGCAAGCCCCAGTGATCCTTCTGTCTCCACCTCCCACATCTTTGCGGTGTCAGGTGCACATAGCCGTTCCTGGATTTTATTATTTTTTAATTAATTTTTTTCATACAATGTGTTTTGACCATATTCTTTACCCTTCCCCACCTCCTCCCAGATCTTCCCCACCTCCCTACCCACCCAGACTTCATGTTCTTTCCCTTCCCCCTCCTAAAAAAAAACAGTAATAAAACAAAACAAACAAACAAAAAAAAATCAAAAGAAACAAAAAGACAAAAAATACCAAAACAAAACAGAGACTACAAAAAAAGCCCCCAAACATGGAGTTTTAAGTTGGCCAGCTACTGAGGGGGCCTGACCTGGAGGGTGGATGGTACACCTTGTGACACTTCGTTGGAGAAAACTGATTGTCACTTTCCCAGCAGGCACCCATTGCCAGTAGCTTCTTCGTTAGGGGTGGGATTGTGTGTCTGTTTTCTCTTCTCAGCGCTGGGGTGTTGTGTGGCTTGAGCCAGTGTAAGTGTTGTGCAGGCTGTAACAGTCTCGGGATTCATGCGCATGCCAGTCCTTCTGTGTCTGGAGGACAGTGTTTCTGTGGTGTCATCCGTCGCCTCTGGGTTTCTGCCTCTTCTTCTGTATGGAACCCTGAGCTTTGCGGGGAGGGCTGAGATATAGGCATACTGCTAGGACTGAGTGCTTCAAACTCTCTCGTTCTCCCTGCACATTGTCCAGTTGTGGGTCTCTGTGTTAATTCTCATCTGCTGCAGGAAGAAGCTTCTTTGATGAGGGTTGAGCCGTGCACTGACCTGTGGCCATAACAATCTCCAGTAGGAGTCGTATTATTTCTGTGTTCCTTTAGCAGAGTAGTAGTTGATTTTCCTCTAGGCCCACAACCTATTTAGCCCAAGATTCTTGGCCTCTTTTGCAGTGTCAGTTATGGGTTCCATCTCATGGAGTGGGCCTTAAATCCAGTCAGAAAGTGGTTGGTTATCAGCTTAGCATTTGTGCCAATATTGCGCTAGCGTATCTTGTAGGCAGGTCACACCTGGTATTTATGCGGGTACTGGGATCTGAATTCAAGTACTCACGCATATGTAGAAAGTATTCTTACGTCTTTTAGCCCTTAATTTAGTATTTATACTAAATGTTTACATGATAATATTTTGGCATATAAAGAACTTCCACAGTGTGTGATATTCATTTAGAATATGTGTATATGTGCATCTATACACATCATGTTCAGGTAAGAGTAGAAAACAATGAGGACAAAATTTTGTATTTATTTAAACATAGAACCAGTGGTTCCCATTACCACTCTGATCTTCACAGTGACCTTTTAAGAACTGGCAGGAGTGGAATGCCATCCTGTTAGCACTGGGAAGCCAAGCCCTAGAAAGGTTAAATGGGGTTATACTGTGAGCTTTTAAAGACAGCAAGAAGATTAAAATGCCCTTCGCTGGGCCTGCATTCCCGAGTGAATGGATGGTCTTATAAGTGGAACCTTTGACCAACAGTCACTAAAACACACTTGTCCCCATCTGCTTCATTTCAACAAGGAACTGGCACCGCCAAGAGGTGCTTACAGTGACTGCTTACAGTGACCTAAAGACCGTAAAGTAGAGCCTGAACCATGTGGATCCTTTCAGTGTCTGCTGTGCACAATTATGCTTTTACCTTAATAGCAGCAAACCCTTTATTTTATACTATACATGTTTTTTTTGGCTAGGGGGAGTGCTTAGTAGGTAAAGCGCTTACTACATGATGGAGAAGAGGGGCCTCTAGAGTTGTCCTCTGACCTCTTCCTGCACAGTGTGGCATGCATGTATTTTTATTTTATGTGTATATGTCTTTTGCTTGCATGTATGTATGTGTACCGTGTATATGCCAAGTGTCCTCAGAGTCAGAAGATGGTATAAGACCCCCAGGACTGGGGTGACAGACAGCTGTGAGCCTAGCTCGGGTCCTCTGGAAGGGTAGCAAGTGCTCTTAACTAGTGAGCCAGTCTCCAAAGAACTATTTCTAGGCACGATGACACTTGCCTGTAACCCCAGCCCTCACAAAGCTGATGTAGGAGGGTCCTGAGATCAAGGCCATCCTAAGTTGCACAGCCAGACCCTGTCTAAAAAGAAAAGAAGCATTTCTCTAACTCAGGTGGTCTCTGTTGGACCCTGGTAGGGGAAAAAAAGTGTGTGTGTGTGTGTGTGTGTTATCTTGCAATATTACCTAATGGTTATTTAAAGCCTGATAATTTTTGTCTTGTTTTTATTTTTTGGTTTTTGAGACAGAGTTTCACTGTGTAGCCCTGGCTGTCCTGGAACTAACTTTGTAGACCCGGCTGGCCCCTAACTTACAGAGACCACCTGTCTCTGGGATTATGCTACCATGCGCAGCAAGCTTGCTGGTTTTTACATTTAAACTTTCATTAAGGCAGAACATACATACACTAAACATTCATAAACGTCATGCATCTACAACTTGATGGATTTTTACATATCATATACCTAAATGTCTGCCGGTGCCTTTCCATCAGAACCTCCTGTCTCCTGCGTAGCTGCTATTGAACATCACAAGAGAACCTTTTTGTCTGCTCCTGGCCCCCATATACTTGGAGTCATGCTCTTAATGATTCACCACCAATACTCTTGTATGTTCTGGCTGTGTAGGATCCCCGTTAGAACCACAGTGTCAGTCATTTCTCCTGATGACAGGCATTTGCTTTGTTTGGAACATTTGACATTTACAAATGAAGTCATGGCAGATATTCTTGTACATACTTTGGTATAAGTTGGGTATAACTCCTATGCTTAGAGCATTTACCCTTACAGAAACATTTCTGCCTCCCTTAGTTCATCTGAGACTAAGCACAAACCCATGAGTTGGAGGGGATGTTAGAGAATAATTAGTTGTGCCATGGTCAGGTCCTTGCCCAGGGGCTGCCAAGAAACCAGCCGAGCTAAGGTTCTGGCTGTGTTCTGCACGCCAGGCTGCAGGGTGAAATAAGCTGTTGGTGTCATCTTAGGTAACCTTGTGCTCTTTCAGGCTTGAACTCGCTGTGTAGTGGAGGGTGACCTTAAACTCCTGACGCCCCTTTCTTCACCTCATGACTGAACTACCACCTCGAGCTTTGTTTTGCTTGTTTGCTTTCATAATTTTCATCGCTATAGTGTTGGGCATTGGACCCAGCTACCACTACTGTCCCAGCCTGAAGTTGCTGAATGGTCTGTGGTCACCTGGTGGTGTTGGAATCAGCCCAGTGAAAGCTTTAGGGCTTTGTTGTGTTTTGAGACAAAAACCTCACTTTATGGTCCAGGCTAGCCTGGACCCATACGTAGACCCGGCTGGCTTGGAACTTACAGCACTCCACTTCCCTCGGCCTCCAAGTGCTGTGCGAGCCACCACATCCGGCCCCGTGTGCCTTCAGTAGGGGTGTTGGTAAGGGTCTGATTGTTAGCTTTTGGTCTTAATGGAGGGACAAGTCTGGCAGTTCCTACAAAGAGGTTATTGATTCCATTTCTCTGAATGTGGCCAGCATCGAATCTCATGTACTTAGAGTAGTACCATTTATTCATTTCATAATGATCAGTCTTTAGGTAAGGAGGCTCTTTGTGGTAGCCCCAAGTAAATGATGGTGGTTTGAGGAAGGGGAGAACATGTCACCCAAGTGTCCCTTCTGTTTTATCTCCACTCAGGATATTGCTGAGGGAAAGAACAACGAAAGACAGGAAGGACTCTTCCTGTTTTGCTGCAGTCTGAGAATGTGGTTCTTTGAGAAAGCAGGCCAGTCCTCGAGTGCTCGCTCTCTAGCTTCCTTGTCACTGCGTAGACCAGAAATGACCTGCCGCTAAACCGATAAGGAGCGATCTGGGGAAGAGATGAGCCTTGCCTGGGGCTTTGGGGAGGATAAGGAGGCAGCCCAGCCTGTAGCTATAATCTGCTTATGGAGGGATGTGGAGCAGGTCTGTCAGGGAGTCAGCTGCAGATGTTCTGCACTTGGTGGAAGCTCAGGCTTTTCTTTTTCTTCTTTCTGTTGCTCTGTTCTTTCTAGAAATTTGGTCTTGTCTCAGAGATGTGCCATTCGTGTTTAGTTATATATACCACGGCCATACTGTGCAAACAACCCTACCTTACTTTATCCTTTAATTACACTATAAAGATGCCTTGCAGGAAGAGAGGTAGTGGGAATTGGAGCTCTTAGAGGATGACTGCCAAGATGCGTTAGGGTTTTTCTAGATTCGTCAAGGAGTACCTGCCATGTTTCAGGTGTCTGAGGTGCAAGATGTAATGGGCTCATTTCTTTGGGAGGTGCTGGATATTTGTGGCCCTTCAGGATACATAGCAAGAACCAACTCTGCCTGTTATTCTTTTCACCCTAACTAGGTAAGTCTTAACTATAGATTTCTAATATGTGGAAAATTATCTGTGTTGATTAATGATAATGAGTGGAAGAGGTAAGGCAGAAAATAATCATTTTAGATATAATAGTCAGGACAACTATAAAGATTAAGTTAAGAATCAAGGGTGGGCAAAACTTATTTTTAACCTTTGGCATAGTAAACCACAACACAGTAAACCATGTGCAAAACTTCATTTTTCTGCAGTTGGTCCTCATAAATCTTTGTTAATATCACCCAGAATCAATGCTACCTAAGCTGCATTACAGTTCTGTTCAGACTGTCTGTCCCGGATTTTCTCTCTGATAGTGTTGATCCCAACTCTGAATGGGATCTCGTGGAAGATGACAAAGGAACTATGGGAAGATCCATAGTGGCCTTAAAGAATGTCAGTCAAAATGGAGATCAACATGAAGTGAGGGGAAAAAAACCCAGGGAAGAGAAGCCATCAACAGACTGCCACACTTCTGTCCCAGTGCTGAGAGCAAGGCCAGCAATAGCCTGAAACCTGCAGCTCTGTTAGGTGCTCAAGTCCATGCATGCATGCAAGGGTGCAAGCATGGGAGCGTGTAAGCGTGTGTGCCTGAGCAGAGTGTACTCCCAGGATGCGCTCCATGCAGCCTCGTATTTAATGGGAGACTGCTTTACCGCTTTTTAGGGCGATATCTTCATGTAGGTCCTCAGTCTCAAAAGTCATGGTCATCTCTGTCATTCATAAAGTAACATGGATTCATAGGGAAAACAAATCTGGCCAGTTCTCATGTTAGGAAAGTGAGAAAGCTGCAGGTACATGCCTTTGCCCTATTGCACGGAGGCAGGGTTGACCTGGAAGGCTTGCTTGCCCCGCAGAAAAACAACAGAAAGCCATGTGACATGCCCATCTCCACTACCCCATTCAAAATACTTGTGCAGGCTCATGTCACCTTACCTGGAGTACAGATGCTCCAGGAAGGTTGCCTTCTGTGTTGGGACAGTAGGCTTCAGTCAAACTCACCCCTTAAATACAGTGGTCATGTGCCCCAGAGTCTGAAAAGATGCCCTACTGTTCTGTCTTGGACGGGGGCAGGATGGGAAATAGTATTCAGATAATTTCCAGAGCCTCATGGTACTTTCAAAAGTCTGAATGTCACTCCTGGTTCCTTACAGCGTCTCTGTCTTACTCCTATTCTTATCTGCCTGTTTTCAGACTATTTCTAACACAAACAAGGATTTCCACCAAAGATTCAACAGCTTCCCAAGCTCGCCTGTTTTGTCCTCTGTTGGGTTCAGGAATAGATTATCTTGCATAATTCTTCTGCTCCTTTCAAATGAGACCAGAGGAGGGAGGTGGTTTTATCTGGGGGAGAGGTTTTGCTGTTTTCTTAGCCTGGACATGCCAGCGCACCCTGCGGAAGAAATGGAATACCTACCGGGTGCGCACCAACTCCTCCTTACTGGGTACTGATGCTTCCCCCTCTCCGCCACAGCTCTCTCTGGTGATGAGTTAGTGTGGACTGACTCCAGTGTCTCAACCTTCCCGAGTTTGCCCGCTCTTTTCGTTAAAAAAAAAGACAAAAGTGATCCTATTGTAATGACTGACTTCCTGTTTACAGTTTCTGGCCCTCAAGGACAAAGCAAAAGAAGACGAGACAGGACTCGAAGAAGGTGGCGATGTGGATGATTTAGTGAGTACTTTTAATAGGCACCAGGTGTTTGAAGACGGAGTTGTCTGAGCTGTAAATACAGCCACAGAATCTGTCATTGTAGACTTGTTTGTTTTGTTTTTTTGTGTGTATTAACTTTACACACACCAGATGCTCCTTATACTGTTAATTATCACCATTACAAATGTAATCGTATAGGTAATTTTATAATGAGAATTCCTGTTTTCTGCGGTTTCAATTATAGTGTTCATTCAGATTAATCCTCCCCTCTGAAGAGCTAAGAAAAGAGCCAGGGACGCTATTCCCTTGGTAGAAAAATGTTATAATTTACTGAAATCGTTCTTAACCAGAAATAAGCGGTAAATCATGCAGTTTGTGTGGGTTGACAAATACAAGCATCCTTTAAAAAGCCCACTTCTTAAATGTTCCCAATTAGCTTCTTATAAACAAAGCAGCCTGATAGAACCTGAAGATTTCTGGACCTCATCACACCGTGCTGTTGGTGCTGGGAGACTGTGTGAGCGTGGGCTTTCACAGCCATTGTTCATGTTTGGGAAAACCATGCCCTCAGCCTCACATGAAAACCACATACGACGCTACCAGCTTTTTTGCGGGAGAGTTTTTAGGGCTGGAATGAGGAAACACTTGGTGTTGTAAGTCCTAAAATAGTTGCAGGGAACACCCGCACAGGTTTGTGCGTGTAGCGACCAGTACAGCTTCCTTTCGCCCTCTCCCGGGAGCTGCGGGTCTAAGGGTGGCCTGGGTCCTTTATAAATTTGTTGTTCTTGTTTACAGCTGGACATGATATAGACCATGGATGTGTGGGGAACCCAAGAGTGCCATCGCCATGTTCTAAGAGTTCTGACATTGCATCCTGGAGGCCACGCAGGGGGACCTGAAGCTCTGACCATCATCCCAGCAGACAGCTTGGGAGCAAATCAACCCAGACCTCCACAGTGACCACAAACACATATATTACAAAGAAGAACTTGGACCCTATCCACATTTATAAAGAGTCATTATCTTCTGACTGGCATACCATGTCTTGTGTGAAGTCTTTCTTTTTAGAAGTACTCTGTAAGTACTAAGGTGCTCTCAGAATGGTTGTACCAGATAGAAAGTATAGGTAGGATACATGGACTTTTTTTTTTTTTTAACATAAAAGCAGTAATAACATTTGTTTGCGTGTGCATACCGAAGGAGGTCAGAGGACAACTTGCAGGTGTCTTTTCTCTCCTTCCACCGTATAGGTCCTGCAGACTGAGTTCAAGATACCAGATTTAGTGGCAAGCTCCTTGACCTGGGGCGCCATCTCTCTGGCCTGATAGACTTTTTAATAGATCTGCCCCCTTGCTTATATATCCATCTTATTTCTTTTGGAGGCTGAATCTTCCAGTGTTGGCTTTCAGAACCACCTGTGGCTATTTGACATGGTACCACTATCTAGTGGTACATGAAAAAAATGGAGGTCTGTGTGACCAGAGGTAGGACACAGAATATGCTTTGGTGGTTTTGATAAGGTGACTAGTGAATGGCCTTGGCATGACTGTGTCCTCTTAAACTCTCAAAAGTGTCTCTAGTGTGGACTATAGATGATACGGTACCCTAGGTTTAGGTTGCGTTAGTACTGCAACCACGGCCCAAGAAATGGCCGATTGTTGCCTTGCCTCTCTTCCATGCAGCAAAGGGCACAGGAGCCAACAGCAAAATGGAAGTCAAAATACTGCTTTCCAGACAACAAGCTTTGGGGCAATTAAATTGTAGCTCGTGGCTAACATTTGAAGCCTGCCTCTAACCCTGGACAGAGCTAAGACATTTTTGAGCCTGCTTAGGAGTGAGCCCTGGCTTTCTTGCCTGATTTGCAGAATGGACACAAAGTAGAAATAATACACTGTTTAAGTCACAAATGATCTAAACAACCCAACTGTCAGCTCATTCATTTTTAATCTCCTCCCCATAGCACCCAAGCTTCCTCGTCCTCACTTTCTGATCCTCATGTGGCTCTCTTTGTCCACCTATCAGAAGCATAGAGTTGCAAACCCTTGTTCAGAGTTGGGGGTCTTGAAATCATTTTTGAATGGGAGTGCCCCCCTTTTCTCCTTTTAAGCATAATTCAGAACTAATCGCTCTAGATACGCAATGGTGTAGTGTTTGAGATAGCTCCCCAGATGCCTGCTGTGCCTACTGACTCTCAGTGCCGCCAGCACGTAGCTGCTGCAGGATCCCTTCACCTCCGTGAACATCAAAGTTAAAGCAATCTCTTGCATTTCAGCCATGGTTACACTGCCTGGAGAAGACAGAATCTTCCCAGTGAGAGGGGGTTCAGCGGTGGCTACGCAGGGGATGCTTAAATGATGGGAACAGATGTGGCTGTCTGTGTAGGGGAAGCAGCCTCCCCCCCAAACATGCCCATTTTAAACACACACACACACACTCTCCAGGCCCACCTGCCTTTGCCATGCGATGTGGCAGTGGTTCTCAACCTGTGGCCTGCAATCCCTTTACAGGGGTCACCTAAGACCATAAGAAAATACAGATATTTACATCATGATTCATACCAGTAGCAAAATTACAGTTATGAAGTAGCAGCAAAAATAATTTTATGGTCAGGGGGCCTCACCACTGCAATAGGATGAGTGAGGGAAAAGAGGGGGCCCCTGAGAGAGCTGGATGAGGTTAGTGGAGATTTATTCTTCAGCATGCTAAAATTTGTGTTACTGGTAGGGTTCGTGAATGTATACTGTTAACAGCAAGACAGTCTTCGGCAAACCAGGGAAATACGACTTGTTTTGAAGCAGAACTCTTCATTCAGAAACAGGTCTGATTTGTTGGGTAAATGTTTTGATGATCTACCTGAGAGTAGGAGGTGGCAGGATAAAGACAGGCATGCTGCACTCTGGAGGGGCACGACAGTAGCTAGGCGTTTTGGCTGGTTCCAGCCTTTGTGTTGGTGAAGGTTGTAGCATAAGCTAGGGCAGACTGTGGAGATGGGGGCAGGTGAAGTGGACAGAGCTGCATCCTCTGTAGGGAGAGTGGCCTCGGGGAGCAGGGGAGCCAGGTGTTCGTGTCCATCTGTTCTTCATTTTCGGTGGGTGGTTATGGGTAAGTCTTCATGTTCCCACCTGAGACACTGTACAGCATCTGTGTCTTGTGCGTGTGTTTGGAGTTGATTATTTGAGAGTTACAGGTGAGAGTTATAAACTGATCTCTCATAGTGGGCAAGGAAGAAAGGCTGCGCAGGGGAGCCATGATTGTATCACGTGGATGCCCTGTCTAATCCTGGACAGGAGCAAACAGAAGTCCTTGTTCCTGTGATCAGGACCAAGCCTCTTTATAAGTGTTCACTAGAATAAAAACAAAGGATTTGCAGATGAGAGCTGATCCAGGAATGCACAGAACATAAGAGTGCCTAAGATATCACCATTTTTTGTTGTTGTTGTGGTGGTGGTGGTGGTAGGTTTGGTTGGTTGGTTTTTGTGTGTGTGTGTGTTTCTCTGTGTAGCCTGGCTGGCCTGGAATCATACCAGGCTAACCTTGAACTCATACCAGGCTGACCTTGAACTCCGAGATCTGCCTGCCTCTGTTTCTCTGGTGCTGGCATTAAAGGAGTGTGCCATAGTGCACAAACTGCATTCCAAGCTGTTGGTTAATGATTAAGGGAGCACACGCTGGGGCAAGATCAAGTACACCATCAGAAATGGCTCAGCGGTTGAGAGCACTGGCTGTTCTTCCGGACGGCACAGATTAAATTCCCAGCACCTATACAGCAGCTCACAACTGTCTGTAACTCCAGTTCTAGGGGTTCTGGCACCCTCACACAGACATACATTCAGGCAAAATACTAGTACACATGAAAATAAATATATACCATCAAAGCGTCACATCTGTTCCATACCCAACATTGTTTTTATTTCAAGAATGTGGCGTCTGTTACTGGAGTTCCCCTCTGGTGATTTCGGAAACAGGTGAGAGATTTTCTGATCCTTCTCTGGTAGTGTCTGCACTCAAGCTAGAAACGGATATGCCCTGGTCAGAGTATATAATACAAACTTGAATTGTGTTTATCTCTCCCTTAGTAAGAACAAAAGGTTGAAAACTGTGTTTGATTTTTTCTTAGTTTGCATTGACAGAGAGTTTTGGAAGTGGGTGCAGAAGGCCCAGATGGGGCATCGTTGAAGCCACCTGGGGAGTGTGAAAGGAGCCCCAGCGCTTCTGGCTCAGTGCTGTCATTTCTGCAGCTTCAGCAACACCCGAGAACCATGTTAGTCAGCACTGAGTTCCTGTGGCCTCTGCCCCAGTACTGGCCGGAGATGATGAATGGTGTTTGTACCACCTGAGGAGAGAAGGACTCCATTCCGGAAGTCAGCATCAGTCCTGGGCCAGATACAAGGCTGAGGAGTGAGCTACGGCCACTGCTGACTTTAGGTTTACATCGAAGGGTGGACTGAGAGAATCTGCCTCTGGTGTCTGAGGGCTTTGGAGGTCCCCGGGGGAGGGGAGGATGGATTGGCCTCTGGCTGTAGGAAATGTCCCATCTATAGGTCATCCAAAGCTGATGGAAGTACATGACTTAAAACTCAAATTCTTGATGTTCTTCAAAGTAATCTCAGCCACACACATTTTAATCATCCTTCTCAAGCCGAACATCGTCATCATTGTTTTTATTGCGCTTCATAAAAGTTGTCCAGTGGTGGCTTTTTACAGTTTTCACACATTACATGTGCTCCTAGAAATCAAGAGACCACCACAAATAAGCAAAAGGGTGAGTCACATGCTCCAAAGACAATTTGAAAGAAACTTACTCAATGCCACTATACATATGTTTTAGTACGAATGACATTTCCATTTCAAAGGGACTTCTGTCTTCAGTAGCAGAAGCTGCCCAGGGCTTGTGTTGATTTGAGGCAGCCCATGGACACTCTTCCTTTCTCTGTCACCATTGGATCTGGCCACCATGAAGCAAAGAGGACAATATGACCTTTGAAAAAACCAAAACTTTTTGATGGATCCAATAGCCCACTTCAAAGAATGTGTTTAAATATAGTCTTTCTCCAGATCCAAAATAGCATTGATGGTGTTAAGGGAAAAAAAAAACAAAACTGGCGGCCATTTTACTTTGCACTCCAACTTAAAATAATTATTTATACTTATTTAATCCCCTCCCCCACTCTGTACATGCCATGGACGTAGGTTAGAAGGGAAGTTGAGTAGGTACTTCTCACCTACTGTGTGGGTCCTAGAGGTCAGACTCAAGTCACCAGGCATAACAGTAAGTTCCTTTACCTACTGAGCCATCTCACCAGCCTACATCCCAACTTTTAAAAGGTTATAAAATATAACTGTTCATTGAGGTAAACACTTCCCATGGAGTCAGCCAGCAGTAGCAACTCCAGGCCCTCCCAGCCTTCCTGCTTCACCTCCTTCCTCACACATACATTTGCCAGAGAGTCTTCTAGAGGGGGATGGAAAATTTCCTGCCTTCTGTTGTGAGGCTCAGGACCCCAGAAAGGATTGGGAAGGCATACTATGTCCCTCCCATGGCCTTTCTCCTGTCACCACAGTTTAAGAAGAGTGCTTTCAGGAGACAGAGTGGACCTTCCTGTTACCACCAGAGGCTTGGGGAAAGCCTATCGTTGGCTCTTACAGTGATTGGAAAAGCAGTGAGGACAGACGTGGAGTTCTGGAATCCGAGGTTTCAAAACCACTTGATAATATCATAGCTTTCTTGTCTTCTTCCTACACACCTGTTTTTTAGTGTCCACCAAAATGGACACCCCATGACTGAGCCCTGGTGGCTTTAGAAGAATAAGGACAGAGATAAGATCATAGCCACACATGCTCCCTGTCTCTTGCCATGCAATGTTCAGTGTCCTTTCGAGTCTCTGCCAGCAAGTTGCTGCCCCCAGAACTTAACATCTGCACACCCATGATGTAAGTGTAAGGTGTTTTTCCATCTCCTCTGCTGTATCCTAGCTGTTTGACCTTGGATAAATCACTCAACCATTGTCAACCCCAGTTTCTGCAACTGTCAGACAG